GCGTGCGTGGGTGTGCGTAGGTGTGCGTGCGTGTGTGCGTGCGTGTGTGCGTGCGTGCGTGCGTGTGTGCGTGTGTGCGTGTGTGCGTGTGTGCGTGTGTGCGTGTGTGCGTGTGTGTGTGTGTGTGTGCGTGTGTGCGTGTGTGCGTGTGTGCGTGCGTGTGGGCGTGTGTGTGTGTGTGTGTGTGGTTGTGTGTGTGCGTGTCCAGGGAGTCCAGGCGTGGAGCGATGCCGTGGGCTCTCGTGACCCGAGCAGGGTGTTGGCCACCGCCCGCGCGGGCGCGGCCGCCGGCCCGCCCGACCTCGTCCTGTTCACGCCGCTGCTCTTCCTCCCCCTCGTGCAGCTCCTCCCCCTCCTTCTCCTCCTCCTCCTCCTCCTCGTCCTCGTGTTGCTCCTCCCCCGCCTCCAGCACCACCCCCACCTTCACTCTTCCTGCCCAGGCCGCTGCTGCTGCTCCTCCCCCCCATGGCTCCTCTGCCGAGGACATCATCAACCTGAAGAACGAGACGAACACCAAGCTCGACACCAAGGCTCCCAGCCCCTGCGAGCGCGCCTTGGATCGCACGGGGAGGAACGGTGCAGGGGGGGGGAGGACCAGGCCGAAGGAAGCCCGCGACCCGCGGCGACCCCTCCTCGCTGCACCCGAGGCCGGGGCCGCGGGAGGGACTCGTTAGGAGGGGTTCCTCAGAAGGCGAAGAGCTGTCCAGGCCCCCCCGCCTGTACTGGCGACGACGGCCGCCATCGAGGGAAGAAGCACGGGGACCATGACCAAGATGTCGCGGGACCTTGTCGATGCCATCTTGGTCATGGTCCACGCCTGCCGCCGCCGAAAGCGCCTGGCCCGCCAAGACGCCCACTGGCTCCGCGAGGAGGCCGCGAGATGCCGACGAGCAGCCCGCGCGACGATTCCAGGTACTGGCCGCTGGCGCACGCCACGGTGACCACGGCGAGCTCGTGCAGAAGGGCGTGGCTGACCAGCTCGATGCCCTCCAAGTCGCCACCGTCCAGCCATCCGGGGAGGGCGATGTTCAGGAGGACCTGGTCAGAGAGCTCCTCGACGTCGACCTCCGCGGGCACCACCGTGCCTGCCGCCTCGGCAGCGACGCCGTCGGCCTGGCCGCCGCCAGCCCCCGGAGCCACTGGCAGCACCCTGCAGGAGCAGCGCCAGCTGCCCATGCCGCGGCGGGCGTGCCGCCGTCGGCCAACGGGTCCTCCATGAGGCCGCCGGCGTCCTCTTTTGTCGAGGGCGGCCACGGCCGACACCTCCGCCGCGGGGCTCGAGCGCGAGGCCGCAGCCCGGCTCGCGGCCGCCAGCGGACGGCGCCGCCAGCCCGCGCCGCTCCGCCTCGGCCTCCCACGCTGCGCGCCCCGCCTGCCCACGGCCTCCGCCCTCGCCGCGCTCCGCGGCGCCGCGCGGCCCGTCCTCGCGCCGCGCGGCGGGCCCGCAGCAGCGGCAGCTGCCGCCGCCACAGCCGTGCGAGCAGCCGCGCCTGCGGTGCGCCGCGGAGCGCCACGGAGCGCCAGCGGCGGGCGCCGCGCGGGCCGCCGCGCCCACGAGGACGGCAGCGTCGGGTGTGAGCGGGAGCCCCCGGAGGCGCCGACATCGGCTGCGGCAGGCTCCCCCAGCCGTGCGATCGCTGGAGCCAGAAGTTGGAGAGGGCTGCCGGAGGAGGAGGAGGAGGAGGAGGCGGAGGAGGAGGAGGAGGAGGAGGAGGAGGCACGGTTTGGAGCAGTTCGGTCATGCCCGAGCGGTGTCGCTATACCCAGCGACGCGGGCGCACCCCAGGCCAGGCATCGAAGCTTCTGACTTGTCATATATCGGCGCCGATACAGGTCGCAAAGCGTACACCCCACGCGTCCACGCGTCTCCACAGCGCACGACAGCCGCCCCGAGAGGGAGAGGAAGAGGAAGAGGAAGAGAAAGAGGAGAGCAGAGGGGTGGAGAAGAGAGGAGAGGGGAGGAGGAGGAGGAGGAGGAGGAGGAGGAGGAGGAGGAGGACCAGTGTAAACCCAAGAGTCATTAACGATGTCGGAATAAACCCTCCTTTCAAGCTCTCTCCTCATAGGCCCCTACAACGGTTAACTTGTTATCGGGGAACTGCCTTTTGGAATACAACCGCTCGAATATTCTGAAGCATGCCAAAACATTATGCTCGGGACTCCCACGCCATGGATCAACCTGATTATTGCGTCTTCACGATCCTGAATCGTTTCAGAACGCCTTTCCTGGGACTCCAACACCGGAATCAACGTAACTTCTGCACCTTTATAATCCTGAGTCTCCCCAAAGCACAATTTCTGGTAAGTTGACCCTGGGAATCCGCGAAACTCTTCCATCTTTGAACAGGAATGTGCGCGGCGCTATGGCGAGCGCCACAATTTGCAAAGGAACCGCCCTCACTCCGTGAAACGTTTGCAAATGTTTTAAACGAATGCTCGCGGCGCTAAGGCGAGAGACATATGCTGAAAACCACCCGCTGTCAATCCGTGAAACTCTTGCACATGTTTACACACGAATGTACGCGGCGTCAAGGCGAGAGCCACATTTTGAAAACCACCCGCCCTGCATCTGTGAAACTGTTGTCAATTCGTCCTCTTCAGGGTCATAGTTGGTGAGGAAGTCTTAGGCGAAACGCCCGGCCCGCCCTAGGCCTCGGGTTGCGACAGGGAGAAGGTACTTATAAGGAAAAGGAATGGTGGAGGAGGACGACGACGAGGAGGAGGAGGACGAAGACGAGGAAGAGGACGGGCCCGCACGCGCCCCTCCATGTGCTGTGGCAGGGCCTCCGGGTCCTCCGGCTTAGAGCGCATCCACGCCGTGGCTGCGACCTCCAGGCCTCCGTTCTGGGGGTCTTGCACTGGCCGCTGCAGCACGTCCGCAAGGTCGGTGCAGTGACGCGTGGGCCTGTGCGAAGCTTGCACTCCATGCCCCTTTGTTCGGGACGATCGGAATGGGTGCGTAAAGAATGGGTACGATGCCCAACACCAGCTCCTATTCAATTTGAACAGGACTCGCTGCCCGCGCCGCGGCGGACGTTGTTCGTCGAAGACACAGAGCCGCCTGCCCACCAGCGGCCGCTGTCGGTTTTGGACAACATTTGTTGTTGGGCATTGTGTTCATGTTTTCCGTGCCCGTGTCGGGCGTCCACATGTGTCCTCCAGCTTGTCGATCAAGCCGGAAGGCCGCGTGGGCCAGTGCGAAGACCGCACTTCATGCCCCTGTGTCCTACAGCTTGCACTGCAAGCAGGAAGGTTGCGCGGTCCACCTTGAGGTTTTGCGCCTTTCAGGAGAGGAACAACACAGGCACAATCAGTCGTCGATTCCTTGAGAACTATGAGCAGCATGGGAAGTGGGGGGAAGACGATCATCCAGAAAACAAGGGAAAAGATGGGACATCCTGGAATTAGTGCAGATTTCTTTGTGTGTCCCTGGGCCTCTCTAGCCCCTTGCCCACGAGTCCCTTCTCCTTCGCACCCGAACTGCCGCGGCGCCCGAGCGCTCGGCCCGTAGACCCTGAGGGAATCATCGCGTGGCCATTTGGAGGCCGCAAAGGCCAAGGGGAAGCGAGGCCGACAACATCGAACAGACTGTCGAACCAGGGTATCAGATGGAGGTCGGTTCAAGGAGGGTACGCGAGTGTTCTTCGTGCTTGTTGGATGTCATGTTGTATCCTGGGGAGGGCACCCTTGGATGTTCTGTGCGTTTTGGCCGGCGGATGGTCTCATGATTATTGAGGGATGTTCTTCTGGCCCAGGCCCGATTGTATGTTTCAGGTGTTTGAACTGTTTAAGTCTCGAGTGGGCATACTTGGGAGGCTCGGGGACATCTCAGAGCCACCTTGGAGCATTATTGGGGCCTCTTCGAAGAGGCAGCGTGCCATCTCGAGTCAGCATGGAGGCAATCGTCGAGATCCATGGGGCAACATGGGAACCGGACAAGCTTGGACGCTCCGACCACTCGCGGCGCCGAGTGTCCAGACTCCAGAGGGAGACCCTCCCCGAGGGGAAGACCCGGCTGCTAAGGAGGCACGCCGAACCGCGTGCGTCCAGGGTCGGGGGCGGAAAAGAGGGGGGTGATGACTACGGGGGGGGTGGATATCATGGCGGGGGCCATGATATTTCCCCAGATCTCATGGCGCCTCTTCTTGCTTCATTACGTCCCTGGCCCCCCCGCTGGGCCGCGCACATGCCGCCGGTCATGATTTGCACCCCCCCCTCTTGGACACCCCCCTCTTGGCCGCTCCCGAAGCGTCCTGTTGCCTGTTTTTCCTTGGATTCGGGCAAGTTTACTTGCATGGACGGGGGGGGCGGGGCTGAGTCTGAAGCAAGCCGAAAACAATTCGACGTGCGGAAATCAGGCAAGTCGAAAGGCATTTGCACGCTCGTGTTCGATTGAGGAGGGGCGAGGGGGGAGAGGACGTGGCCCGACGCGCGCGGCCCCCGTGCGCCGAGCCCCCCTTTCGCACCTCTCGATCCCCCTCCTCTGCGCAGGCCGGCAGGCGCTCCCGCCCGGCCCAGAAGCCCGCCCACCTCTCGGGCGCCGCGTACCGGGGGGGGTCATAAATGGGGGGGTGTCGGCGACACCCCCCCATTTATGGAGTGAAAGGCGCTTGGCGCCTGGCGCTTCTGGAGTGAAAGGCGCTTGGCGCTGAATTCCCTCGGTCGTGCGCGTGGCCAAATGCGCGCCGTGGCTTCGTCCGCGCCGGGGCGCTTTTCTTCCCTCGCGAAGCCGATGGCGCCCAAGGCGTGGCAGGCCCGTTCGGCGGCGCCACCGGTGAGTTGAAAAACCGAGCATGATTTTTATCCCGGTTAAATTTTGCCCCGATCCCGGCTTCATCTTAGTCGCGGGTGGTCCGAAAAGGTACGGTAGGTTTGCGTCGTGTCGACCAGCGGCGACCCCAGCGCGGGCGTTCAAGGTTGAACGCCGCCGGCGACCCAGAATCGATCGATGTTGAACGATCGGACGTTGCGGCAGCGGCCGATCGTTCAAGGTTGAACGATCCCTGCGGTGTCCAACACCGACGCTGGGGTCGGCACGACACGAACCTGCCGTACCCAAACGGTACCTAAACGAGCCCCCTGGGGCTCCAGAGGGGCCCGAAGGGGGCACGGAAGGGGACCTTTTCTGACCCCCCCAGTTGTGACCCCCCCATTAAGCCACGCCCACCGCCCCTCCCCGCGGAGCTCTCCCGGGGCCCGCCCGGGGACCCGCCGTGCAGAGCAGGCCCCGCCGCGGCGACGAGCAGCCTCGGGGGAGAGGCCCCAGCAGCAGGTCATGAACGGCGGGGAGGGCCGCTGTGGTCTCGGCCGGCCCTCTTCGGACCGCCGCTCAAGAGCCTGTTTTTCTTTAGATCCAGGCAAGCTTACCTGCATGGCGTTGGCCCCCCCCCCCCCCCCTCTCCCCCCTCGCCCCTCTTCAATCGAACACGAGCGTGCAGGCTTGCTTCAGACTCAGCCCCCCCCCCCGTCCATGCAAGTAAACTTGCCCGAATCCAAAGAAAAACAGGCACCAACAGGAACTCGAGGGCAACGACCTGGGAGGACTAGGCGAAGGTGGGAGCGTCGACCCCCGAGCGCCACTTCATCACCAATCGGGGCCCGCCGCGGGCCTATTGGCGACGCATCGCCGATCCAGAGGGCAGCGTTTGCCCCCCCCGAGGCAGCCCCCTTCTTTCTTTCAGGGGGGGGGCGGGGGAGCAGCGGCCTGCAGCAGAAGAAGGATCAGGAGGATAGTTGAGATGGCTGCGGTGTTTGGGAGAGGCGGAGGTGACGGTGTGTCTCTGTAGGTGGAGGCGGAAGCGGGGGAGCGCGAGACGGGGAACGAAGACGGCGAGGACGAGGACGGCCATGGCGAGGAGGAGGAGGAGGACGGCACAAGTGACGAGGACGAGGGTAGCGAGGACGACGCGGCCAACGAGGGCGCGGAGGAGGACGAGAAGGAGGAGGCGAGGAGTTGGACTCCTCCTCGTCGCCTCCTTCTGCTGGTCTTCTTCCGCCTACTTCTCCTCCCCCTCCTCCCTTTCCTCCTCGTGCTCCTCCTCCTCCTCCTCCTCCTCCTCCTCTTCCTCCTCCTCCTCCGGGAGGAAGACCGGGGCGGAGGAGGAGGAGGCGGCAGCGTGCGCGATGGGGGCGCGGTGGGCTGGGGGGTGGGCGGAGGGCGCAGGGGCAGGTGCAGCCTGCCCTGTTGCGGCGTTCGTCGTGGTGGCACGGCGGCTGTGGGCGAGGCAGGAGGTGCAGCTGCGGGAGCGGGAGCTGGAGAACGACCACGAGCAGGAGGAGGAGGAGGAGGAGGAGGAGGAGGAGGAGCGGGAGTTGGAGCAGGAGCAGGAGCAGGAGCAGGAGCATGAGGAGCAGGAGCATGAGGAGGAGGAGGAGGAGCATGAGGAGGAGGAGGAGAAGGAGGAGGAGGAGGAGGCGGAGAAGGAGGAGGCGGAGGAGGAGGAGGAGGGGGAGCTGGACAATGACCACCCTTCTCATCTTTCCTCCTCCTCCCCCCCTCCCCCTCCCCAGTCTGCAGCAGATATGCGCGCACGCTCGCTCAAGCGCACGTGTTGGGAATCGGCGCCGCTGTGACCCGGGGGAGCTCAGAGGAGGAAAAGGCACACATAGATTGCTGCGCTTCTCGGAGAACAAACAGTGACATAAACATACCAACTCGGAGGTCCCCGCGGATGTCTCGGATCGGCGCTGGGGCCCCCTGGCGGCTCTCCAGCGCCGCTCCTGGCGCGCTCCGCGCGCCAGGGAGGGGTCCAGCGCGGATCCAAGAAATCCGCGCGGACCTCCGAGTTGTTATGTTTGTGTGATGTTTCGTCCCCCTAGACGAGCACACATACTGCTGCGCTTCCCTTGTTCTTCGCCCGTTTCGGCGTCGCCACGGCTCGACGCTCCTGGATCTCCTGGTCAGAGCGCACCCCGTGAGTGGTCCAGGGAGTAGCGGTGTCCGTACTTTTTGGCTTCCCCAGAGTAGGAGCAGGAGGTGGAGGAGGGAGAAGAGAAGGAGGAAGGGTGAGGTGGTGGAAGAGCAGGGAACGGATGGAACGGATGATGGGCAGAACGACGACGACGACGACGACGACGACGACGACGACGACGACGACGACGACGACGACGACGACGACGGCGGCGGCGGCGGCGGCGGCGGCGGCGGCGGCGGCGACGGCGACGGCGACGGCGACGGCGACGGCGACGGCGACGGCGACGGCGACGGCGGCGACGGCGGGTGCCTCCCTGGGGCCCCGGCCTGGCCAGGTGGACAACGTGGCCTGGAAGGAGGCCAACGACGACCTGGACGCCGCGGTGAAGACCGTCCGAGACATGGTCTCGTCGCTGAGGCGGCCGGGCCCCCCCCCCCCCACGCCCGGGCCAGGGCCCCCTTCCACTCGCCCTCGGCCCGCCTCGGCTTCGGCCCCGCCCGGCTCGACCCGCTTCGATGCCGGCGTTCGGGGGCGGAAAAGAGGGGGGTGATGACCAGTGGGGGGTGGATATCATGGCGTGGGCCATGATATTTCCCGAAATTTCATGGCGCCTCTTCTTATTTCATTACGTTCCTGGCCCCCCGCTGGGCCGCGCACATGCCGCTGGTCATGATTTGCACCCCCCCCTCTTGGACACCCCCCTCTTGGCCGCTCCCGAAGCGTCCTGTTGCCTGTTTTTCTTTGGATTCGGGCAAGTTTACTTGCATGGACGGGGGGGGGGCGCTGAGTCTGAAGCAAGCCGGAAACAAGTCGACGTGCGGAAATCACGCAAGTCGAAAGGCACTTGCACGCTCGTGTTCGATTGAGGAGGGGCGAGGGGGGAGAGGAGGGGGCGGGGGCGAACGCCATGCAGGTAAGCTCGCCTGGATCTAAAGAAAAGCAGGCTCTTGGCGATCCGAGGTGGCCCGGTGCTCGTGCGCCCGGCCGGAGCGCCCTGGCGCGGCCGACGCGGGCCGACCTCGCCCTCGCGGCTGCGCGGCCCGTCGCACGGGCAGAGACCACGCTCGGTTCCGATGCGGCCCGGTGTTGCGCAGCGGTGCGGCTCGATCCTGCGCTGCCGCCGTCGCCGCCGCCGTGGTCCTGGGCTGGCCTCCTCGGGCGCCCTGTGCTCCCCGTCCTGGTCTCGCTGGGCCTCCTGGTCTCCTCGGCCGCCAGTCTCGGGCCCACTGTCGGGTCGGGCGAAAGGGGGTGTTTGGGAAAGGGGGGGTTACGAAATTTGCTGCATGCAGCTGGTTTCGGCCTCACCGAGGGGCCCATTTCTCGATACATGGCCGCCTCCGGCGCCGGGAGGCGCCTGGAAAATCAGCTACGCGAGCTGATTCTCAAACCCCCCCTTTGCTATCCCCCCCTTTCGCCCGACCCGAGTGAGGGGGTGGCGCCAGGTGGGTGCTCTTCTGAGGAGGCGGAGGGCGTCTTTGAACGATCGGGATATCTTGGAAGGCCTCCTGTCTTCAAAGGGAGCCTTCTTAGAAGTTCCCGTGCCCTGCCCAGAAGGTCCCTCACGTCTAAGAAGCCCTCCGTCGTCTCAGAAGGCCGCCCCCTCCCCCCGCGCAAGCCCCTTGCGCGCGCCGATCTCCTTCGTCATTCGACACCTTCGCATCCTCCTTCGCCTCTTATGTTTAGTGTGTGTCTCTCTCTCTCTCTCTGTCTCTCGTTTTCTCTTTCTCTCTTGTTCTATCGAAGACGCCTACAGCGAATCCCTGCCGCCCCCTGCCTTCTAGAATCGCCCATGTGGCCGAGCGATGTGGCAAGAGCTCTGCCAAACTATCGCACCATGTGTTCCCCAAACCGTTGTGAAAACCCTTCGGTGGACACTTGGGGGATGATGCCGGGGAAGATCAGGAGCAAGCGGAGGAGGAGGTGGAGGAGGAGGAGGAGGAAGAGGAGGAGGAGGTGGAGGAGGAAAGGGAGGTGGAGGAGGAGGAGGAGGACGGGGGCATCTCGGGAGCCTCTGGGGACACTCTTTGGGCGTCCGGGAGCTTTCTGGGAGCCTCTTGGAGGCATCTTGGGGGCCTTAGGCCTATTGGAGGCATTTGGGAGCTTCTCGGGGGCCTCTTTGGCCGTCCTGGCGGGCTCCCGGCCCGTCTGACGACGTCGGAAGCCGTCTTGCGGGCCTCTCTGGGCCAATTTGGGGCCCTCTTGGGGTGCTCCAGGGCGTTCTTGGAGGCCATTTTGGGCGTCTTGGAGGCCTCTTGGGCCGTCTTGGGGGCCTCTTGGGGCCGTCTTGGGGGCCTCTTGAGCCCCTTCTGGGGCCATCCTTGAGGCCTCTTGGGCGCTCTCGGGGCGATCTTTGGGGGCTCTTGGGCCGCCTCGGGCCATCGGTAGGCAGAAAAGAAGCACTTAAACAATGATGTTGGCCTTTCGGGCCTTCCTGGAGGCCCTCTTGGAGGCCTCTTGGGCCGTCTTGGGCCATCTTAGGGCCATCTTCGGCCGTCTTGGTGGGCTCCTGGTCCGTCTGACGCCGTCTAAAGCCGTTTGGGGGGCATCTCTGGGCCGACTTGGGGCCCTCTTGGAATGCTCCAGGGAGGGCCGTCTTGGAGGTCATCTTGGGCGTCTTAAAGGCCTCCTGAGCCGTCTTGGGGGCCTCTTGGGGCCGTCTCGGGGGCATCTTGGCCCGTTCTGGGGCCATCTTGGAGGCCTCTTGGGCGATCGCTGGGCGACAGTCCTCTGCAGCACGTCTGCAAGGTTCCTCTTCCTCGGCGTCCAACCCTCCCGATTGCCACCCGCCCTTCTGTGTTTGCTGTTGCCCTCGCCCTCCAGCTCCTACTCGGTTCCTGCCCTTCCCTCCTCCCCTTGTTCCTGGCCCCGCTCCCCCAGATCTCGGGCGAACTCCGGCGGCGACGACCAAGGCGCCCCAGGAGGCCCAGGGATGCTCCCCAAACGGAGAGAACCTCGAGCGATGGACGATGCCGACGGCGGCGGCGGCGACGACGACGACGGCGACGACGACGCGGGAGCCCTTCCGCGTGCAGGCTGGACGTCGACGCGCGGCGCCGCAAGGTCGACGAGATCCTGGCGACCATCAGGCGCAACTCGCGGCCGGATGCGGCGAGGGGGAGGGGGAGGAAGGACGAACAAGGGAGGAGGAGGAGGAGGAGGAGGAGGAGGAGGTGGAGGAGAAGGAGGAGGAGGAGGAGGAGCAGGTGGAGGAGGAGGAGGTGGAGGAGGTGGAGGAGGAGGAGCGGCAGGAAAAAGGAGCAAGGGAGGGTTGCCGTGTCGTGTCACCGCCCTTGTCTGCGGGTAGGCATCACCTTTTGGAGGTGCTCGTGAAGGTGGAACGACAAGCCTTCTGGTCCGTGGGAGTGTGCAGGGCCTGTTGTTGGCACCTGGCATCGGTGGATGGTATGCGTGGTCAGCATACCCCGAGACGGCCACCTCTCGGTTCGAAGAAGGGAGGAGGACAAGGAGGGGGAGGAGGAAGAAAAGGATGCGGATGAGGAGGAGGAGGAAGAGGAGGAAGAGGAGGAAGAGGAGGAAGAGGAGGAGGAGGAGGAGGAGACGAGGGCGTCGCAGGAGGAGGGTTTTGCCCTGGGAGTGCTCGGAGGTCGAGCCGGGATTCCGCACCGGCCGGGACCGACCGCGGAAGGCCCTGGGGAACGATGTTGAAGGGATGTTCAAAGGAGGAGGACAAGGAGGGGTCGAGGATCAAGGAGGACAGGGAGGACAGGGAGGAGGGACAGGGAGGAGGGAGGGGTCGAGGATCAAGGATCGAGGGTTGCGCTCTCAGATCGGCCGTGCTTTGAGGGGAGATGATTCAAAGTTGTCCTCATCCGCGAAGCGTCCCTCGCGCCTTCCTCGTCACCTTCTCTCATCTGCATTGTCATTACGGTCGTCTGCGGCAACAGCATCGTCGACATCCGCGCCCACGGTGGAATGCCCGATACTTCGAAGCAGTCGCACTTGAAAAGCAGAAGCAGGCACGCCGCACGCGCTCGAGGATACACGGAGCGAGAAAGAGAGAGAGAGAGAGAACGAGATACACATGTATATAGAGAGGGAGAGAGCGCGGAGGGACGTAGCAGCGAGAATTACCCAAATCAGTTTCTGCTTTGCTGTGCTCCCCACTCTCCTCCATCTTTTCCCCATTGCCTCTTCCTCACCATTCCCCATCCTCTTGAAGGCTCAACGTCCTCCTGCTCCTCATCCTCCTCCTTGTCCTCTTCTTTTCAGGATATCGTTGTGTTGTTAATAGGGCGGCTGCCAGCGAAAACAAAAACTATCCTCCTCCTCCTCCTCCTCCTCCTCCTCCTCCTCCTCCTCCTCCTCCTCCTCCTCCTCCCCCTTGGTGCTTGTCTGCTCTGCTTTCCTCCTCCTCCTCCTCACCCTCAGTTGTTTCAAGGACGTGGCCATCCAAACTCTCGTGTGCCCCTCGGCGAATGGTTGCATGCGATCGGCGATATCAGAACTGGCGACCCAGCTCGTTGTTTGGAGCAGGACCGCATTGCACTTCATGGGTGCCCTGCAGTTGCTGGAGAGGTTTCGATGTTCGCGGCCCGCAAAGCGGCCTTTGTAGCATGCGAGGCGTCCTTCGACCACGCCCCTCTTTCTGAAGAAGGAACCCGTTTCGTTGGGGAGGGGCTCGGTGTTCCTGAATTGTTTCACGGTTTGCCTCAGGTTTCCTCAGGTCTTCGTCGGGAAGCCGAAGTTCATCTTATGGATAAACAGGGTGCCTCGTTCCTTACTCCAGATTTCGTAATAAAGGGAGGGTGTCTCATTTCGGGGGGGTCTCTTCCAGGCTATCTTGGAGGGCCTGGGGGGGTCTGGGGACGGTGTTTTGGAGGGTTCTCCCACGGGGGAGGTCTGAAATGGCTTGTCTTGGAGGGTCCAGACCCCCTCCCTTTTATTACGACCCCTTGGAGGGGGAGGAGGAGGAGGAAGAGATGGAGGAGGAAGGGGAGGAGGAGGAGGAGGAAGAGGAGGAGGAGGGAGGGGAGGAGGAGGAGGAGGACAAGGAGGAGGAGGGTCAAGGTCCCAAGTGTAAACCTGCTGACCTGGGGGTGGTCCCCCCCCCCCCCCTTGCGGGAGGAGGGGTGCCGCGGGCCCGAGTTGCCCTCCCTTAGGCGGGGGGGGGGGGCAGCCCCTCGACGGCCGGCAGCTCGGCGGTTCCTCCTGCCAGAGGGGGGGGGGGCTCCTCCTCCGCCTCCTCCTCCTCCTCCCTCCCCCTCCCTCCTCCCTCCTCCCTCCTCCCTCCTCCTCCTCTCCTCCTCCCTCCTCCTCCCCTCCCTCTCCTCCTCCTCCTCCTCACCTCCTCCTCCTCCTCCTCCTCCTCCTCCTCCTCCTCCTCCTCCCTCCTCCTCCTCCCCTCCCTCCTCCTCCTCCCCTCCTCCTCCTGCCCTCCTCCTCCTCCTCCTCCTCCTCCTCCTCCTCCTCCTCCTCCTCCTCCTCCTCCTCCTCCTCCTCCTCCTCCTCCAGAGCCACATCGACGAGCGGGACGCCGCCGTCGCAGGACACGGACCTGCAGAGAAGGCAGGAGCGGCCCGACGAACCAAAGCACGAAGTCAACGAACCACGGAAGACCCGCATGGAAGAGAGTGCAGAAGAACGACGTAGACGCTGGACGCAGCGCCTCTTAGCCGCAGCCAGCGGTAAGGAGTCACACCTCGGCAGCCACCACCAAAAGCAGCCGAAAGAACAAGATCAGATCAGCCACGAAAACAAGCTGCAAAGTCGTCGAAGACCAGATGCGCACCACGGGCAGCAGCACCACCAGTAAGTGCAGCTGGACCACAACACCAAGAAGGGCGAGAACACGGACGAGGGCTACTCTACTGCCGCCACCTTTGGAAGGCATGCCGTGCGGGGTGCTCGGGGCGCGAGCACCGAGGGCGCCGCACGGGGTGCTAAGAATCTTGGGGGCGGATCGTGCGCACCGCGAAAGAGGCCCTCACCAGCAGTGCTTCACTCGCCTCCGCATGACGCGAGTGGAGAGGAAGTGGGCCCCGGGGCCGCGACCTCCAGGAGGAGAGCCGCCACGAGAGAGCGGCGCGGCATGAGGGCCGCCGCGCCGTCGACGGGGAAGAGCGCGGCGCGGCCAGCGCCGCGCAGCTTGCGGGGAGCGAGATGCGAAATAGTCGACCTCCTCCTCCTCCTCCTCCTCCTCCTCCTCCTCCTCCTCCTGCTCCTCCTCCTCCTCCTGCTCCTGCTCCTCCTCCTCCACCTCCTCCTCCTCCTTCTCCTCCTCCTCCTCCTCCTCGTCCTCCTCCTCCCCTTCCTGGCCCTCCTCCTCCTGCTCCTGCTCCGCTTCATCCGCTGGGCAGGCCTCCGGCCTTGACGCGCCCGTGGCCACTCCTGCCTGGAGTGCCCCCATCGGGGGTTCCGACGCGTGGCAATTGGCGAGAGCGTGGTCTGTAGCACCACGCACGGCGCCCGTCGGCCGCCCTTGGGCGTCGTGGGGGCGGAGCGCTCCCACGAGAGGGAACACGAACTGAAACTCCGAGACTGCCGCTCCGAGAGGACCCCAGGAGGCCCAAAGATGCTTCCAAGAGGCCCCACGAGGCCCCCAAGAGGCCCCAAGAGGCCCTCACAAGGCCCCTAAGAGGCCCCAAGAACACCCGAATGGCCCCCAAGAGGCGTCAAAACTTCTTGCAAGAGACCCCCGAGAGGCCTCCCCCGAGATCCCATCGAACAGCCAATCATCATTAGAGTGCCTGGGTCACGCGACCGAGGGCATGGATCAAAGGGGGCGTGGGGTAGCGACGGGCCCCGCCCGCTTCCAGGAGAAGCCGCGGACTCCCGCCGCCGAGCGAGGCGGCACCGGCCGCATTTTGGGGGGGAGCACCTTCCCCCGACCCGTGGATCTGGCGACCGCGCGCCACTTCCATGGATCGCTGATCCATGTTCGCGCGCCCCCGAGCTCGGTGTCCGTCGGCCGCCCTTGGGCGTCGTGGGGGCGGAGCGCTCTCGCGTCAGAGCGCCTTGGGCCCCGCTCGGGCGTGGGCGCCACTCGGCGGGCACTTCGCGAGGCAAGCACCTTTTCTGCGTCCTTCTCGGGGGGGGGGGGGGGGGCGCGTCCGAAGCGTCCACGAGCCTGCACCAGGGGCGGGGTGAGCGCCAGCAGGCGATGGCAGGGCGGAGAGGAGCATGCGGGGCCGACACGGGCCCGTGGTCGTTGGGGAGGGGCTCGGAGTCCCTGGATTGTTGCACGGTGTGCTGTCGGTTGTCGTGGGGCCCCCATGGGAACTTGAAGTGCAGCGTGTGGGAAACATGGGGCCTCCTTCCTTACGGGCGGGGCGTTCGTTGATGAATGCGTCCGGGAAGCGTCATACCCAGGAGGATGTCTTGTCTTATGAGGGCAGCGGTGATATCCATGACCAAGCCTCAACTGATGTTCCACAAGCCTGGATTCCTTGTCTCGGGCCAGACGAAAGGGGGGGATTGGGAAAGGGGAGGTTACGAAATTTGCTGCATGCAGCTGGTTTCGGCCTCACCGAGGGGCCCATTCCTCGATACACAGCCGCCTCCGGCGCCGGGAGGCGCCGGGAAAATCAGCTACGCGAGCTGATTCTCAACCCCCCCCCCTTTGCTATCCCCCCCTTTCGCCCGACCCGATTGTCTAAGGGTTCCTTATCGAATGCCGCCACCGTACTCGAGGGTGGGGCGTTCGTTAATGAATGCGTCCGGGAAGCGTCATACCCAGGAGGATGCCTTGTCTTATGAGAGCAGCGGTGATATATATATATATATATATGGCCAAGCCCCAACTGATGTTCCACAAGCCTGGATTCCTTGTCTAAGGGTTCCTCATCGAATGCCGCCACCGTACTCGAGGGTTCCTGAGGTCCACGCCCCCCGACTGTGCATCACCCCCCCCTTCTGGGGCCCGGGCGAGGAGGGCGTGCGCACACCTGGTCCTGGGCCCGGGCCCGGCCGATCCAGGACCGGTGCACGTGCACAGTCGGGCGAAGGGAACTATGCACATGCACCGATCCTGGCAAGGCCCATCCTCGACCAGCCAAGGCAGGAGGGCGTACGCACCGATCCTGGGCTCAGGATGGGCCTGGCCAGAATCGGTGTATGTGCATAGTTC